TTTAAAAATCAGACAATGTGATTTTCTGGATTTTTTTTTCTCATTTTGTCTCTCATAGTTGAGGTATATCTATGATGAAAATTACTGGCCTCTCTCAGCTTTTTAAGTGGGAGAACTTGCACTATTGGTGGCTGACTAAATACTTTTTTGCCCCACTGTATATATATATAAATGTAATGTCTGGTAGCTAAAACTCACAACTAAGTAAATATCAGGGTTTTGACATGAAACAATTGAGAATTCCACTTTAGGAAAAAAAAAAACCTTTTATGGGTTAGGATGAGGTGTTTGGATCATTGTATACAATATTTGATTCTGTCAGAATAGAATCATCCTTAGTAGTCTAATTTGGAGCTAAATTGGGGACATAAAATTTGTTAAAAACAACAACGAAAAAAGAACCTGAAAAAATTACTTCAGATACAATTTCATAAGACAGAATTGCAAAAAAAAAAAAAAACTGAAAGAAAAAAAAGTATTACAGCTACAATAATTGTTAAACAGAACAAAAAAGATCAAACCTGCTTATCAGATTCAGTTTCTTTTTTTTTTTCCACAGTTGGAGATTTCTTTTTTTACAATTTAATTGGGGGGAGATGTCAGAAAAATGTTCAGGTTAAATTTCTTCTTCTATTGAAAGGACCTTCACTTTTCACCTTCTTTTTTTTTTGTCAGCAAACTTTAAGGACCCAAATTAGCTCCATAAATTAAGCAAGTAAAATATTCTGTTAAGGCGACAGCAAACTTGCAGTATTATCATATAAAACCCATGTTTACATGCCTTAAATCCAAATGCTTTTAGGGAAAAAGATGTGTAGTTCCCAGCACATGTAAAACTAATAATAAGACAAAAATACTAATATATATATATTTTTTTCATTTTAATGACGAAGATTACTAGTTACAAAGACAGACATTTATCATAAAAAGGACTTTAGAAAATATGTTTTAGAATTTTAAGGAGACATAAACAAACAACTGTTTAGTTTGCAATCAACAGATTGAAAATGTACATCACTATCCACTCCAAGCTCTCTTAATAGTGGACACACAGCTTTGCTTTTCTTGTTGTTCAACTTAAAAAAAATGTATATATTCAACAGTCATAGATAAGGATGTTCAGCAAAGCACTGAGGAAAAAGCAAGTTTATTTTTCTAGAAGTGATTCCACCACTGCCATCCTGGAGGTTCCATCTAAATGAAATATTCCTTCTGGTTTTTATTCTGAGAGCAGCTCTGCAGTCCATTGTTATCTTCTGTTTTTTTCACCTCCTGGTTTTGGTATGCCCTCTTTCTTCTGTACAGGAATCGAACCAGTATTGCTAACGCAGATACAATCCCAGAAATCACCACAGCTATCAGACCTAAGATGAGAAGATAAAAGGCAAAAGTTAAAGCATCCTTTAAGGGCTAATTGGCTTCTTTAAGCAAGAAATTTAGTTTATAGAATATTCTCACTTTCTTTGCTTTGTGCATTATTTGTAAAATGATCATACCAGGAGCCAAAACCCTGCAGCCCTGTTTTACATACCTCCAACTAGAGCAGAGTTTGTCCTGAGAGCGTTTACTAGAGGCTGACCTCCTCCTACCGATCCAGATTGGTCTGCCGCAAAAAAACAAAGGATAAAAAAGAGCAAAAAGAAGCTCATCATTAAATAATGCAATACATTTCAATGATGGAGTGTAATTAAAATGTTATTGGAGTATCAATGAGAGAAGAAAAATTCCTTATTAAGTGGCATGTTCGTAAGGGTCCTAATGCTGCATTCAGGTGCTTTATTCATTAAAAAAAGACAATTATCCGCTGTCAGAAGTTATAAAAATCTTTTGTTT